CCAACCCGGCCCTTTGTGAAAAGCAATTGCCTCCTACATCTCACATTGCACCACATTTGGAGCAAACAACCACTATCAAGTGTTCCTTGACCATGGAAAGTATGTCTGGACTTTGACTAGGCAACAATAAAGCCTTAATTTTTCTGTTTTTAGTGGACTGGCTGGTGTAATTTGTATCACTGTCCTGCTTCACAATGCAAATTAAACTTTCTCTTTCAGGATTCATCGATGGAGAGCAGAATTTAGGGTTCCATGAGTCTGGTGACTCTGAAGGACTCTCGAGACATGCCCCACACAATTGAGACATGCTTGATTGTCTCCGTTTTGGTCTTTTTCTAAAAAACTGAGATAAAATGCATTGAGAAGCAGACATTCCAGAAGGTTCTAGTCTTATCCTGTCAGTCAGAAGAATATTTTCCTAAAAGTCTTCTGGGAGAACATATCTCCCAAAAGATATTTTCTCACATTTGGAATATCAAAGATGTATGAAGAGAATGGTCTGGGCAAAAGTGGTAATCAAATAATGGATAACAACAAAACAACTGAGAAAACAACAGAAAAATGGTTATGTCCAGTTGTGAAACTGAAATCATACTGTCACATCAGATTTATGGTAATGGTGAGAATTTCAATAACGTGAAGCATTCGTAAACAGTTGGTGACATAACTGTATTGTTCGCCACAATATCCGTCTCAAATTAAGCTCATAAAATATATGCTGATGAACGTTTCAGCACAGACTGTTGCTCAATGCTTCATTAAACTTTGTCCTCAAATGCTGTATGTCTTTTCAGGATAGGGTTTTATGTAAGGACAGCTGAGGTCACGCTTTTCACCATTCAGAATATTCTTGTTATCAATCTCTTCTGGTTATTAAGCGATCCTTCAATTTGTTCCAAAAATCATTAGGATCCACGGAGAACAAATCCAGGGACCCAGCCAACCTCCCTCCATGTGCCCCAGGCTAGGTGGGGCCCCAACGTGGAGCCAGATCCCAGATTTTAGAGCTGAGTGGAACCAGACTGAAAGTTTTGCTGGAAATGCGCTGAAGCAGAGAAAGGGGATTGAATAAAGAGTGGCAGGCCTTCCTTGCCCTTGGAGCCCCTCCACTGACGCACACAGATGGAACACATTAGCCTCCATTCCACAGCTTGGCTGGATGGATTATTAGATAGAGAGTCTGACTGGAGCAGGGAGAGAGGCGAGGAGGGTACGAATCTGGGAGGAGAGAAAAAGAACTGAGGGAGTGGAAATCTGTTCATTTCACTAAAGATTAAAAGTATATTTACTTACTGATTATTATTTTTGTAGCATAATGTAATTGGAACAGATGTAATTGGAACAGAGTCATTTCTTGCAACAATAGTTGCTGTTTTATAATCTTGGATTGCAACATACATTTTTATGCACATTTACATCGTTTTAAGGGGAGATTTATTTGCCAAGTGCCATATTTGAACCTAATCCAGGAGCCATTTATGCACTCCCAGACTGTACATAACACACACGTTATGTGTGTAGCAAATGACCCATGCTTTAAGATGACGCAACAGAACTTTAACTTCATGGAATGTGAAATGTAGCCATTAACTCAACTAATTTAATAAGACTGTGTTTCAAGGCACGTAGATCTAAGTAGGTCTTTGTGTATTTCAAACAGGAAAAGGAATGTATTTTCTAGTTTATACCATTTTTTTCCAACAGGTAATGAAAGAAAAAAAATATTTTAACATTTCTGTCTGTTTGAAATTCACCATATCCTGGTGACTAAACCACATCTTTTTTGAAGTACCAGTCTTTCAGTCCCAATTGATTGATTAAAATAGCTGACTTAGGAAAGACTGTCGGAACTATTTGTGTGTCCTGCATGTTTGAATGTCTCTGCTCCAGCTTAACTAATTCAAATGATTGCATTAAATGTTAATTGCATCTCCGACAAGTCAGTTAAATTTGTTGTTTTTATCTTTACTTTTATAATCTGTTACATATTCATTACACGAACATCTTAATTTGGAAATGGAAAAAAAAAATCTCAGTAATTAGCATTATAAGGGGAAATGAAAGGACAGACTTTATGATGGACCTGAGCTTTGTCAAAGTCCATGGTGGGGTAAATTAAACTATTCATTGGTGGTTCACTTCACATCATTCACAGACTTCTCCCCTCCTCCTCCCTTCTCTAAGGTCATTGTGTGGCAGCACAAACAGCGTAGGTCAAGCGCCTGTCAACCCCTTGGACAAGAACAGCTCATGTTCCCCAACAATCAGCGGCTTGTTAGAGGCATCTGACAGAACCGACCGGACAGAGGCTGCAGCGAAACAGAATCTTTGAATTTCAACCCCCTGCTACCAATACACGCAACTGTACATTCAAAGTCTTTATTTTTAAATCATAAGGTCTTCACACAGGTTCATAGGTGTAATTAATTGGAGATATAGTTGATAGTGCCATGTGTTGTCATTGGGACTTGACTGAACACCAGGCATGAGCCAAGCAGAATTATGTAAAAGATAAAGTTCAGTAATATAAAAGAAAAGTATAAAACTTACAACACAAAACAATCCAAATCTTCAGACACAACCAGGGAAAACACAAGATTCCTGCAATGACTAGTAACAAGAAAAAAAAGTGTTGAAGTTGGGAGGAATGATCAGCAGAAGAAACAACAGGTGAGCCTAGTTAACTAAATGTGCTGCAGGTGAGGCAGAACTTAAATTGGAAATACACAGAAAAATTTAAACATTGCAAAAAAAAAAAGAAAAATACAGCCAAAAAAATTATTCATATGGATACAGTGAAACACAGTTTTGAATGAGTTCCTATTGTACTTTAACAAGTAACATCAAGAGAAAAACATGATCAAGTTATTATTTACTAACATTACATTAATAACAGTAACAGTTAGGATTTCTGTTGTGGGAGCATTCCCCATTCTTCCCATACAACAGTATTATTTCACCTGAGTTGTGGAAACACCTTCTGCAGCAGTTAAAGTTTACATTTTTTGGGAGTATGTATATCCTGTACATTTAGACACTGACATTTTGCTGATTCTTCTCAGAAAAACGGATCAAGACCAGTAAGACTGGTAGATCTTTTTTTAAGGCTGTTTTCAGAAGTCCACAAAGTACAATTCTCAGTTGGATTTAGGTGTTGACTGGGTTACTCTGACACATACCTTTGCTGATCTAAACTATTTGAGTGCAGCTTTGCTTCCAGATTTAGATTGTTGGCCTGCATGAAAAAGAATCTCTCCCTCAATCTCAAGTGCAGCCTGTAACAGGTTTTCATCTCCATTAATCTTCCTTTCTTTCAACTATGGCTTTCCTCTTGCCACTTTCTCATAAATGAATTATAGAGAACTCTACAAATAGTTGGTGTGTCCAGCTGAGCTCTGGATCTCAGCAGCCTCTCCAGAGTTATTACAGGCCACATGGCCGCATCTCTAATACTCTCCTGCTGCCAGTTTAGGTAAACGTTTTTTAGTTGTGTCGCACACTTTCTGCTTTCGCACTGTAGATTGAACACCGTTCCGTGAGATGATCAAAATTTGGTATATTATTTGAGGTCTTAAGTTTACTTTACATACTTCCACAACTTCATTCCTGACCTGTCTGCTGAGTTCCTTGGTCTCCATGATGATGTTTATTGAAGTCTGAGGTCTTAACAGGACAGCTGGATTTATATTAAAATTAAATCTCACACAATTGGATGCAACTTACTATTTAAATACATTTTAATGACAGTTAGATGCTCTGGATTGTATTTTGTGGTGTCAGAGTAATGGGGTGAATGAGTTCAAGGGGGTATGAATTATTTTGCTAGACGTTGATCTCTCTCTTTAATGCTCTATTATTCCCATAAATCCTTTCTCTATGGAAATATTTCAGCATGTTGATCCTCCTGCTTCATAAAGCACATTAAAGACTATCTTCAATGGGCCTAATGGGGGTTCTACAAGAGACTGCGCCCTCAAGGCTCGCGTGTCACCACTGAGAAAGGAGTGTCTGCTCTAACTATTTACATTTGTAGAGGGACACACCCATTCGACATTCATCACTCAGACGACACAGGGAGCTTGGCAAGTTTATGCTGAGGTAGAAGAGACACATTTAGGGAACTTTAATTCTGTTTAAAGACTATTCTCTCAGAAGTTGGGAATGCATTTGTTTCTTGTTTAAGATACCAGAACTTCCAACGAAGCAGGAAAAAAGAGAATGACAAAGAAACACTAAACAAGGAGAACTGGATTGATGTGCTGCATGATATTTATGCTATGGAAAAGCCAGCCACTTTCTGTAGATTTGAACTGAATAAATTTGAGAAAGTGGGGAAGGGATGACTGAACCATATTAAACCAATAAGATAAGTTACATAAGTTTATGTACTTTTTTAACCATACAAATTTTTGTGTTAATTTTATAGATGTTCTTTGGATTGTTTGTTTTTTAATTCTCTTTCTGTGCAGTTTCTTTGTTATAAATAAAAAATTGGAAATTGAAAGTTGCGATATACTAAGATAAGGCCGAAAATGTCAAGAACCAGACGATATACATCTAAGTATCGTTCTGTAGACTGTCACATCAATCATGAAAAAAGAACTTGAAGTTAAACATTTTCCATTCTAAAACTGCAACAGACACCTATAAATGTGTATAATCTTTGTTTACATGTCAAATAAAAAGCATCTCTGCCTGAGTTTTAACAGAAAAAATAAAATTAAATAAAATCACGCATGAGTAAACCCACCAGAACTCTACACTAGATTTTCCCCCCAATGTGGTTATGTCCTTTGTGCTCTGATGTAATTTCCAGCTGCTCAGAGGCCAACATTTTTCAAACAGCTTAACAGCGCCACCCCCTGTCCAATAATGGCCACCGCAGCAAAAACAGGAAAATTAATGACCATGGAAATGTGCTGACACCTTGTGGATTTGTATTTATATTACACTTACAAAGTCTACAAAACTCAAAAGAACTCTGAGAGAACTTTAGCCAACATCATTTAATAATAATAATGATTTTTGCAATACAAAAACACCTGTGCAAAAATATTCAGACAAATTACAAAGACAAGGCTTAACTTGGTCAATATGTGAGTAAACCTTGTTTGAGTATAAATCTGTGTTGGTTCTTGAAAGTAAATGACAAAAAAGTCAGGTTTATGATGGTCTTGCCAATGAAACAAAACAAAAATAGACTTGATAAAGATTCACAGTCTTGTGTACAAGTGGTTTTTGCACTCACACATCCGTTACGTGGTGGAAGTGAACAAAATCAGGTTTAGGTAGCTCCGTCTACTTTAGAAACAAAACAGAAATAGAAAGAAGACAGACTTCTTAGATAGAGATTAAATTGTACTTCAAAACATTGAAATGTTCTTAAAACTCCAAAATGTGGAAAAAGCTTTTCATGGACAGTTAACTCAGTTTTTCTTATCGAAATCCATAATGTAGAAATTGTTAAAGCAGTAGCCCTTTTTCACAGTAAGAGGACGCTGAATGGATCGAATAAACCTCAAAGTAAATACAGAATAATATTTATCATCTGCATTAATACAAATGTTATTTTGTTAGTAAAAATTCTGTGCTGCACTTAAAACTCTCAAACGCAGCTGACTGATAGTCTGACACACAATTGCGTGAGCACAGCTGAGAGTATCTGTCTGAACATACACATTTTGAGGATTGTCAAATACAAAAAAGGGGAAGACTTTTGATGGTAAAATCATTGATGAACTGCTTCTCAAGGTATCATAACCCTTAAAAAATACAACGAAGGCTTCATATTTAGTAATTAATTGACATCACCACCCAACAAAAAGAGAGGACAGAGTTCAGCATTTACACAACACGCACTTCTTCATTTTGGAAAAAAAAATATCAGAGAATCTAAGCCATTTTTCAATACATTGAAAATAAATATAGATGTGGAAAAATCTTGACACATTTGAAATGATTTGTTTTTCCACCACAGCGCTTCTTGGGTCACTTACTTTTTATCCTGCATGCTAAAACACTAAATGCTAGATCAACAGAATGTGGTGCATGAATGTAATCAATGAAAAAAAAATCTTTCAGAGACAGAAAACCCTTCTCAAACACACCATGACAACTAATAGTATCGTTTCTCGCACATAAATAGCAGACCCCAAAAAGTTACTTCGTGATGTTATCTGGCAGAGGCACTTTGTGTTTTACAATTCAACTTCCAACATTGCAATCCTGGATGACAATTCCTTTCTCAAAACATAAGAAATAATAGTAAAGAAGCACAAATGCAAGTCTGGAAAGCAATGATTTTTAAAAAAATTTTTAAATGAGGCATCAGAACATGTTCAGTCAAAAAATATCTAAATGTTTGTGTTGGATTTAGAGTTTAAAGGGATAATTTAGTTTTTAAAGTTAATTAAGGTGGTCAAGGAAATCTCAATTTTGATCAAACGTAAAACAAAATCTCATTTTAGCAGAAAAGTTAACAGAAAACATCCAACATGAGACGACTTTTCATAGGAGACTGAAGACAAACTCCTGTGAAAGTAGGGCATCGAGGAAAATGGCTCTAATCATGCCATTTTATCCCTTCTTTTAGTTCAATGGGAGATTTTGCAATGATTTCTAAAAATAAATCACCTCAGAAATATAGAAGAGTTAACCAGGAGTTAGCTATTAAAATAGCAATTGTAAATAGATCTTCTTTCTCTCTATTCTGTCCCAAACATTCTTTTAACTTAATTTGACTAAGGCTGATAAAGTGTTTTTATTTGGTGGAGAAAATAGCAACGTCATAAAAAAACCATGTCTTGGATTAGTGATCAGGTCCAAAGATTTTATAATTGAGTTTAGATTGTTGAAATTCACACCAGTATGGCTCCCATTTTGATTAGCTGGAAGTTTGACTCCTCCATGAGAGTTTCTTCCTAATTCTCCAAACTACAATGACTCTGACTACAATCAAATGACAAAAATGTCTTTTTTAAAAAAACAAACTATCTTCTTTAAACCTATTTCCAACAACAAAACTGATAGCTACGGAAAGGATATATGTCATCTGGATCCTGATGGAACACACTTCTCTGTTTTGAGCAACTCTGAGGTCAGTTTAACAGAGGGGAAGATGATTTTTACAAAGAGAAAGCGTCATTCATGTTGAAAATGCAAATAAACTAAAACAAATGCAAACATTCAGCTGTCATTTTCTAGGATATGTTATTAATTGGGATGCCCTCTCTTGTGATTTTAATGAATGGCCTTGACAATGAAGCACAAGCTCCGTCCCAGTCGATGCCGTCTAAATTTCACTGCAGAACTGCTGGCTCTCAGGAAGGCACATTACCAGACACGCTTGAGTCCTGAGTCCAAAGGGTGGAGTAGGAAACCAGCATGTTGATCTTCTCACTGAAAGCCAACAGTTGGTCTTGCTTGACTAAGCATTTTATTTCTTGGGTCGATGTGTGTATTCAGGAGCGTAGCTGCAAGGCACCCAAAGGAAGTCTTATGAATGTTTATGTCTCTGTATGAAACAGTCTATTAAGAGAGACAGACACTCACTGCCAGGGTCAAATAAAATCTGTTTTAACGGATGCAGGGCGGACTTGCTACGTTTTCATTTTTACCATCACACTGCTCGTCTTAAAAAGTTCTTTTGAATATATATTTGTATGTATTTTCATCATTCACACAACACTTTTATGTACTGTATTTACAGAGATTACCATAGTAACATTGTTAAGCCATGATAGTAAGTACACTTTAAACAGTAAGGAAAGTCAGACATCTGTTTGCAATACAGCAATGCAATGCAGTTGCAGCAAAGTTTTTTTGTTTCTGCACAAACAGCAGTGTGTACAAGTCTGCATCTGCCTGGTCTCACTTTGATCAAAGATGACCTGTGATTCCCGCTCCCTGGCTGAGAAGCAGAGCTTCTCACGTATGGGTCCTCGAGCAGGAAGAGAGTGAACATACCTTTGCCTGTTTACAGGTCTGCGGTGATGACCGAGTCATTGTACATCAGCACGTCAGAGTCCGGAGTGAGTAGAGCTGCAGTTTGCGAACCGTGGTCAATCTGCGTCACCCCTTTTTGGGAAACTTGTCCGTAAACCTGGCCCTGCCCTCCACCGTTTCCAGGCATGACGCAGTGAGAGAGCAGCGGCGTGTTGGCCTCGTGGTTGGAGCCCGTGGTGGAAGGCACCCCGCTGACGTGACCCGTGCTGGTGGAGCCGCTGGCACTGCTGGGCGAGCGGCTCTTAGGAGGCGGCAGGTGGTGCTGGATTACTCTAGTGGGCGGAGCCGGAGCTGCAAAGTGAGCTGGGAAGGCTGCGTACCCTGGTGGGATGGGGTATCCATTGACGGGGATGAAGCGCTGATGGGTTTGGGGCACGGCCATCGGCGTCCAGGCCGGAATTGGAGCCATCTGTCCCGGCGCAGGGATGGCCTGGGCAGGGTAGAGATACCCAGCGGCGGTGGCAAAACGGGGATTGCTGAGATTGCTGACGGGACTGGCACTGAGCGAGGTTGTCTGGGTGGTGGCGTTACCTCCTCCACCAGAGGGCGTGCTGGAGCTGGCATGGGAAGACAGCCCCTCCCATGCTCGCAGACGACTGTGGATGTCTTTGAAGCGCGGCCGCCGTGTGGGTCCTTCCTGCCAGCATTCCGTCATCAAGCCATAAAACCTGAATAATGGGAGAACCGGTCTTCTTTTAGATAAGCAAATGTGTTTATATTTATATCATGTGTACATATGAATTTACAAAAAAATATTTAATTGGTGGTTGAGCAATTGATGAACAAACAGAGGGATGGATACATCTGGGAATAAATTCTGTTAATCCAAAGTCTTTTCCATTCATACCCAGAATGAGTAAATTCTTTTCCAGACTACTCCAAACTATGCAAGAGCCAAATGAACAGTTAGAACTTCATAATCTCATCATAATAAATAGTGCAGCAACACACCTTGGTGGACAATCCTCAGGGCAGGGCAGCAGTTGCCTCTTTCTCACCATCTCCATCACTTCCTGGTTGGAGAAGCCGTAGTAGGGCTGCAGGCCGTAGCTGAAGAGCTCCCACAGCACCACCCCAAACGACCAGATGTCCGAGTCCGTGGTGAACTTCCCGTAGGCGATGGCTTCAGGGGGCATCCAGCGGATGGGCAGCAGAGTCTTAGGCCGGAGGCAGTAGTAGTCGGAGGAATAGATCTCTCTGGAGAGACCCAGGTCAGAAATCTTCACATGGAGCTGCTCACCGACTAAAATATTCCTGGCAGCCAGGTCTTTATGGATGTAGAAGTGACTGGCTAGATATTCCATCCCTGCAGAAACCTAAGTCAAGAAAAAATGTTGGTGGTTATCCATTTATGTGCCACATAGTTATTTTAAGTGCCTTTAACATGTGAAATGTGAAGGGAAGAAAAAACAAACTGTGGTAAAAGTTGAAATAACATTTTTAAATTCATATAGCAATGACATTCAAAAACAAGGGAAAGCTTTATCAAGCTTTTAATCGCCTGGATCTTGCTGTGTTTGCCATTATGTTTAAGAATGACTATAGGCATGCAATAATAAAAAAAACAAAAAAACAAACATGCGTATTTGAATGTGTCATTTAAATCCACCTGTATGGCCATATGCAGAAAGTCTCCATGATCCAGGCTGGATTTTACAGTGCCGTCCTCATCACTGCTGCAGCCGACATCAGAGTGCGGCGAACGCATGATCAGAAACTCGTGGAGGTCCCCTTGTGGCAGAAACTCAAACAGCATGCAGGCCGGCTGCTCTTGGGTAACCACACCGAGCAGACAGACCACGTTTGGGTGCTGAAGCTCTGTCAGCACGGTGGCCTCCTGCAACAGAAGACAGAGGAGTAATAAAATTGACTGAATTGGTTTTTTAAAATCTGTGTCAGGATATGTGTTCCTAATTTATAAACAGATATTAATAGAGGTATTGCAAAATAGATATGTAAGTAAAACTGAAACCAGGATAACATGTACGCAAAAGTGAAAAATCTCTGAGGACAGTTTTTCACCTGTTGGAAGTCTGTCCACTGCTGGGCGGTGGAAATATCTTTCAGAGTTTTAATGGCCACAAGCTGTGCCTGCTCCATGCCTGGCAGGTACAGATGACCCTTGTAGATCTTCCCCAACGTGCATTCCCCAAGCTCCTCCATGAAACGCACCGCTGACAGGGGAAGCTCTTTGGCTTTACTCTGTGAAGACAAGCGAGACTTAAAATCAACGAGTTGCAGAAAGATGGCAGAAAAACCAGGTCATTATTTTTGGCTTCTGACAGCCCAGTACACCAAAGCTGAAGGTGTAAAATTAAGAGGAGGAAAATAAATCTCCCAGAGAATTTATAATTGCTCAAGTCCATTACATCACCTCCCAATAATTCCTCTTACAGTTTTGTGAAAGCGGCAAGGGAAATTTTTGAAATCCAGCCACATTTCCTGTGATGAAAAATCTGATTTGGCTCTCAGCTTCAGCAACATTTGGGAAAAATTAACTCCCAAGTCAGTTTACTTAAAAAATCCACTACAGAATTAATAGAAAACACTGTTACGTTAATATTGCAGGAAGGCTTTGTGTGCCGCATTCTTATTTTAATACGCATTGCTATTGGCTTTTATAAGCACAAAACAAAAACACGGAAACAATGGCTAGAGTCTCATTTCCTTTTGGCAAAACATTTAATCAATCAATGTGCTGCTAAGAAAACAGTCATCATTATGCAGTTTGACCAAAGTCATGTCTATAACCAGAAGATTCATCTTGAATGGTCGATGAATAATGTCATAATTAAGTCATATTTGTGTCACAGGAATCACATAAATGAGATAAACTACAGTAACAGTTTGGAAAAATGTGGGACAACCTATAAAACTCAGCAATAGCAGGTTTATGATATTCTTATTTCTATATGTGTGTTAACATGGACATCAGTGAAATGCAGTGAGGGTAAATTGTGCGTGTGTGTGTAAGGTATGAGATGGAGCTCCTTTGGGGTGTATAAGGTTAGATCTGGAAAAAGATGAAAAGTGAGAGAAGGTTGGCAGAGATTTTCAGATTCCAGGAAACTCTAAGTTGAATAATGAAATTCCTCTGTTAGCGCGACACACACACTCAAACACCTACACACACACAGGACAGCATGAGCTCTGAGGGGGGTGGGATTATGTGCTGAATATTAGGAGAAAAGCAGATGTTTTCAGTTATGGGTTTGTTTCACCCCTTCTTTATTCCCACACCCAAAGCCCCAGATCCTCTTCACACCACCACAGGTTTGTGTGTGTGACTATGTGTGTGTGTAAAACATGTGTCTAAACGAATCATTAGAGGGTATGGCCCCTTCATGACCCTGAAAAAAAAAAACCTGATGGGCAGCAGAATTATTTTCAAATAATTACTTAAATAAAAGAGAAGTGGCTAAATTGGAAATAATACTTCAAGATTCTCATGCAAAAGCATTAATAACCCTTAAAAATGTCAACCTTTTCACAAACTACAGTGTAAATGTGAAGGGGAAAGAAAAAAATATTCACGATCTTCATATCTGTTAAGTAATAAAAATCTGAAATGCACCACAGTGTGGTATGCATTTGTTTTCAGCTCTCAATTACAACTGAAGGATTTTTGTGTTCATTTTTCTGGGTGTAGATCAAAAAGTTTAATTACACACTTATTGAACTTCTTGTGACTCTTTCAAATATGGATTTCTCCTTGCTAGCTTAGAGTGCAATTCTAATAACAGTTCAGTTGTCTGATTCATCCACCTGAGCTGTGGATTTCAGCAGCTACTCCAGAAAAAACCAGTTAACCACTGGTTCACACAATTATGCACTACTTTCTGGTGGTCTATCACATAAAATTCCAATAAAACATATTGGATTTAATCAATTGTTTTACAAGACACTGTATGAGGATATTTGCATTATTAAAAAACTTGCAGACCTCATACATTTCAAACTGGTAACTAAATGCTAAAGGCTACCTACACACTTGGAAAAAATGCAGAATATGAACTGGATAGGTTATGAAATGCAAACTTGTCACAAGTTTCCTTTGACTTGACTTTTACTGATACAAATTTGTATCCACACATACAAAGGAGTGTGTCCATTTTTTAGTAAGAGAAACATTTGTTCTTGCCAAAATCCCTTAAATAAACAAGCAACATTGTTTATTATACTAGGCTTATCTTAGTAATTTCATTTTCACAAATTACTATAGATCATCATATACTCTCCTCTTCAACTGGTGAAAAATGCTAAGAAAATGATAAACATACATGGAATGGCTGAGAATGGTGACCATCAAGGAAAGGTCCTGATGTGAACCACATAATTTTACTGCAAATCTGATGATCTGCATGACAAAGAGTCTCTGTGATGGAAGAAGAAGAGGAGGACGTCAGAAAAAGAACAAGAAGAAGATGGGATAAGTGAAAGCAGGAGTGTGAAGGGGAGCTGTGGAAAAACAGACAGTGGGAGAAAAATAAACAGAGGAAAGGAGCTGCAGCTGGACATTCCTGGACCTGCTGAGATCTGATGATAGAGATCTGAAGATTTGCCTCATGCAGGTCATTTCCACACACTGAACCTTGTAACCCCGGCATGCTGCGAGGAGTCCCAGCCAACACTCAGGGTGCTGCACCGGTGTTTTGACTTCTCCAGACTGCTCTTACAGACAAAGAGCAAAGGGGCTTTCTTTACGAGAAGTTGCAATTGGGTCCAAAAAATGTAGTACAGGTTAAAGTACTTTATTAAATTAACTTGTGTTACTCAGTCTGGAGTCTTATGATTTGTGTAAGATGTTAGATTTACCACAGCTTGCTGGAACAAGTTTTCTTTAAAACTAGGCTCATCAACCTTAACTGTTTAATTTGAAAACTTTTTCAAGTGAACTCGTCTTTTCACTTGAAATCTGGAAGACACTCCATCAAAGGTGTTCAGAGGTGCAAGTGTTTTTCTGAATGTAATGTCCTTTAAAATGTCATTTTTAGGCACAAATAATGTAAATACACTCCACCCACAGTAAAGGTTACACCTCAAACAGCACCGCAAAACAACAGGAAAATCTTACATCCAATCATGTTTGAATATAATTTCATTAGATGTTTTTTTTTTTTTTTTTTTTTTTTTTTTTTTACCAACTCCAAATAAATTCTAGCAGAGAAAGAACATTTACTCAAACACCATGTCGTGTGTAGGTATGTGTAATACCTTTGGTTTGTAGGCAGTTGTGAGCATTGACATCTCAACGTTTTGACCTCGGACTGGTTTCGGTGGACGAGCAGCGGGGGGCCTGGAAGACTTCTGGTTGTTGCGGCACACGCAGATGAAGAAGAAAAGCAAAACTATGGCTAACGGGATCGACACACTGGGAACTAAAATCTTCAGGATGTTTATGCTGCCACCTGACTTGTCTTCATGGTCTGAAAAAGAACAAAAAAAAGTGTTTATGGCATAACTATGCTCAATGCCAAAGTTTTTTATAATGGTAATTCTGTTTATCTTTTCTTTTAGAAGTACACCCAGTACTTCTAGAACAGTTGGTGAAGCTATTGTTGTCATAAACTTTGCAAACACCGCACATTTTCACATTTTTCCAGAGCATCTGCTGCGTGTCTTTTTAATAAATCATTTGAAGGAACCGTTGCTGTTATTAACCATGTACTTTATTTATTTTTCTTTCCATAAATACTTGCTTATTGCTCCGATGTTTAACCATTCTCATGTATCTGTCGGCAGAGCCACTGATATATCAGTTGATGTCATTATTCTTGTTTATGTCCTTGATCTTGAAAGAATCCCTCTCCCATTACTGCTGTTTTCTTGCTTTCTCTTTTTTCTATAGAAAGTATCCATTGCTCATCACCTCGATTTTCAAATAAGTCTGTTCCTTGGACAAACCCATTGATGAAGTTATAGTTTACATTATCCTTGCATAGACAGTTAGTTGATTGTTTTCCTTTCCCAAAACAACCCCTGGCTCAGTTCTTTTGTGTTTTCTATATCTTTCTTGAATGAAGACATTGATAAAGCACTTACTGGAAATCACTCCATGTTATTTCTTAATATTGTTTGTCATAGGAAGTAACCGTAACATAGTGCTTATGTGTTTAGTTGTATGTCTTGTCTGGAAGAAGCTAATGAATCTACTAATGGAATTTTTGTTTATTGCTTTATTTTTATATCCCACATAAAGTACTTATGTACTAGACATTTGTTAATGCTTCATAAAATCAACTAAATGTCATAAAATCTAATTGTGTTTATATTATTAACCAAAATCAATGTGAGAAACATTTCAAACATTTATATCTACTGATCTATTGTCTTTATTCATTTATCCTTGCGTGGTTTTATCTCCAGCATTCTCTGGGAACCTGGACAGGCTCACCAGTCAAACTCAGGAAGAATTAATACCTTTTAACCTGACTATGATTTCATACCTTTTCAAAGTTTTCGAGAAACCCTGAGTTCACTTGAAAAATGTTTATGGAGTATGTAATTCTACAAATAAGCAAATATATTACAGCCATAAAGATAGGGCATATTTCAGAGATGTCGAAGAAGACAAAAAGGAAATGAGGAATTTGTTTATTTTAAGAAATTAAAATGTTCTCTGTGAAACTGGTTTGAAAAAGCGTTTTTTTTCCCCCTTTACTTTAGAAAATGTGCTAAATTGCACTGTAGTTGCTTTTTTTGGCTTTAAATAAGTATGTATTTCATACAGTGTGTCATCCTGGAGAGTGATCCATCGCTTCCACCTTTCTCCTTCCAAGTATGACTTCTATCTCTACTTAAACTCTTCCAGGTTCACAGTAAATAAAATGCTGCTTAAATAGAGCCAAGGATTAGTAAACTCCAACAGCGAGAAGCAATCCGACTTTTGAAGCAAAAAGTGCCCCATGCACAACAAAACAAACAGTGTGAAGAAGCAACATAAAAGCTGAATGATATACAACAACTATACAGTATATGTGCTTTCATGTTCCAGTTCCTCACCACAGATAGGAATGTCACAGAGCTCCATGCGGACACCTTCATCCAGCGTGAAGCACCAGGGGGCTTCATGGGTTTCCCCCGGGTTGCGGCAGTACGAGTGGCCCCCGTTCAGCTCTGTGTAACGGACAGCCAGGAAGGTGTGGCTGTGAGGATACTGCGAGTTCCATGGCTGACACTGACGCCCCGATTTGGTCACGCTCACTGTCCCTCTGTAATCTGCCCCTGTGTTGTTGTAACACTTGTGACCTGGAAAACATAAAGGTGAGGTAATTACTCCCTGTCCCAATAACTGTTCATTTTACAAATAAGTAGTTTAAGTAACATCCCTATTTAGAGCCAAGCATTTTTAAAAAAAATGCAAATGAAAGAAAGTCTTTTTTAATGGAAAACTAAATCTGACAAAAAGTCTCTATTTTGGAGACAATATTGTACAATACTGGGAAATTTGTGTGTAAATAATTACTAAATTACAGAGGTGGGTTCACTCACGTTAATCCACTAATTATAGAGCTAATCTTTTCATTTAGCTAACATCACAACATTTAGCACATTTAGCATCTTCTACATTACATTTTCTGGATAAACCACAAAATGCTAATTTACTTGGTTGTTTCGTAAACTTTAATTTAAATTCAGTTCAACATCTGTGTTTAAGTTTTGATTGTCCACTTAAGAATTCTTCAAGTAATAAGACGTTCATGTTCATATTTTGAAGGGGCCGTAAACTGAACAACCGTTTGTTTCCTTTATTAAAGATCTCTTTCGTTTTTCCCTCTAAAATACTGTTTCAAATAAGAAAAATACAGAAACAGACAGTAGACAACAAGCTAAAGCAACATCTAAGGGTATTGTAGAACAGTATGGAACTTAAATTAAATGATATTGAACTTAAATTGGTGCTTGAGTGCAGTCTTTCAAGCTAAGATCCAAATTTAACTGAATTTAGCGCATTAGTTTCTGTTTAATACCATTCAGACGTAGAACTCCATCATTAGCAGAATTAATGTTTATGATTAGTGCTTTAGGATTAGTGCAACTAACGTTTTAATTAGTGGTGCTCACCACTATATAAGTACAGTGGTGGACACTGGCAATATTTATAACCAGTTAAAAAGTTTTGCACTTGGGATTGAATAACAAAGAATGTGACAGATGCACTGATTTCTGAAGTCCAACAATGAAACAAACCAATAGAGTGGTCTTACTCTTGTTAATGGGTTCAGCCATGGGAATCCCAATTCTTAAACAGTTGGCTGCCTTTGGGCTGTCGAAAGCAGCTAGCTCGTCACAATTCGGCAGTTTTAGGCTTTTCAGTATGATAGGGTTGGAGCGGGCGATGATGTACTCCGTCTTGCATAAATCGTTCTCCAGGATCTCACATTCGTCCTTACAAAGGTCCCGAGGTTTGTCAATGCCTGAGGTGCGGTCGCATGTTGGGAAGGCAAAGTGGCAAAGGGAGGGGATGGCAAACTGGGAGCAACGATCGGACAAGTGATTGGAAGTTCCAATCATGGTGAAGGCAGCTGGAAACAAGAAAGGAAAAAGTTTTAAATATTAGTATGAAAAAAAAAGAAAATTAAATCTATTCTTAAAAAGAAGTACGGTAGCCCAAAGTTTACAACAGCGCTCCTTATGGAAACCATCCCACCCTTTTACTGGCTTCTTCTGCTGTCTATAATACAATAATTCAGAGAAAAAAACTGATGACCACAGATGCATTTTTTTCAATGTGTAACTCATGGCTCTGCAGTTATTACAAGCATATGGTTTTTCTGTCATTGCCATGACAAGTGCAATTGCTTTGTCTTGAGTAGAGAAGACGACAAGAGAATAAAAAGTTGATAAGTGAAGTTGGTCATAATCCAAGTGTTCCTGCTGCACATGCTGTTTGAATAAAAGTGCTTATAAAGACTAATAAAGGTGACATTTACTCCATAATTCTGAATATGCATTCCAACACTGGAACATATATGATTTACAGCTCTGTCAGCTTGTTATAATACAGTGGCTACATAAATCCGCTGCATCACACATCCTTGATGTTCCGGATTAAAGTCTGGGTTCAGATGACGGTTTGTCCCTCTGTTCAGAGGGTGAAGCTGACAGCTGTATGAATGTCATCAATAACATTCAAACTCAACTTCCTTCGGAGGACATGTTGCACGCAAAACAAAAGAACCAAAGCGGAAACACATACATTTATAACACTTTGGCTCTTTGGGCCATGTGTGCTCCATAAACAGAGAAGACAAAGCTGAACTCTCACTGAACTCTGAAGGCCTGCCGGCTTTTCCAGACTCAACGAACATGATTAAAAACATTGTTTGCAGAAAGTTCTAGTGATATGCAGAGAAGCCACTTAAATTGTTTGTTTAAGACACAAAATAACATGTATAAATATGTTATACATGCCATCAAATATAAAGATGGCCAGGATTACTCAACATTAAGTCAAAGAAACTTTCTCAATGGAGTTATTCTAAATTTTAAGAGGGATTTACAATAAAAAGTATATACTTTCACATCATAAGGAATTCTTTAAGTTATCTTGTAGCAATGAATGCTGGGAGTTCTTTCATACTCTTGCAGCTTTCTGTAGCAGCTACCTAACCAACAGAGTCCTATGTGTAGAAAACAAGCTGAAAAATTGGCTGGGAATTGGATCATCATGGCCAATTCTCACAAAGTAAATTGCTCATAAAACATTAATGTAGGACAACTGCAAATAAAAAGTGGGGTCCATGTACTAGCCAGCATGAACTGATGTCATTAGTGTATATTTGAGACACATGGGGACCCAGTAGGTTTTACCAAAATGGTTTGCTTTTAGTCAACCCTATCAGGTTCTATGCTAATACCCACGGTGTCACTTAGCCTGAGCAAAACCAACATGGGGTCCTAATATATATATGGGCTAAGTAGATATGCTAACAAAATAATACATTTTTTATTTTTTATTTTATTTTATTCTTTTCTTAATAATACGCAGAGCATTTCTATTAGCGTTTCTATTTGTTCAAAAATAATAATAATGCTTATCGATTACAAACAGTCCCAAAAACTTTATACTTGAAATTCTTTTTTCCAATAATTACCAGCTAAACAGCCCACACTGTTGGCATCTGGCTGACAGTTGATAGTGCAGAGCAATCCTCTTCGAAGCTGTTGTATTTGGAAGTGTTTGTGTTTCTAATGAAGCTCTTCACAGCTGAAACCCAGAAGTCTGTCCATTCTCTGTCCATTTCAGTATTTCATAATCAATTTGTGCTAAAAACACTGGGGTGGATTTGTTTAGCTGACATATTGCTAATATACCAGATGTGCATTTTTGTTTAAACTCTTAATCTAGACACATCACCATTGGAAAATGCACAATGTGTCAGTTTGTCCATAATATAAGTCATAGAAATAATGTTCTATGACTATATGAAGAAACAGGAATCATATTTCTAGTCCTTTATATTAAAATTTTCAAAGTAGAACAATTATAACTCAACAGGGAAGGGCCACTTTAATAAAAGAAGAAAATGTGGAAAATCAGGTGTGACTCAGTGGCTTAGATAAACACAACCAGCTGGATGAGACCAGGCAAAACTACGGCTTACCTGCCTCTGCTCCAGTCAGTGGCACAGAGAACATGACTGTTCTGAGCAGAGGCTAGACAACAAAGTCTAGTCTATGTGTAGACTAGTCCTATGAGTTCTGGCCTCTAGACTCTGTCTAGAACGCTGATTTTCCAGCCATAAGCTGGCCCTTTTATTGAACCTGTACTCCTCGCTCTGATGTTCCTAGAGAGGAATCAACTGACTCACGTCTCCTTACTCAAAAGCGAACACAAAGCTTTTTATATTTCTGTCAAAGCAACTTTTACAGAAAGTGAAATATATTTTCTTGAAGTTGTAGTTTAGAAAATGCATGTGTAAATATGCTGTATTTGTCCATGTCATCTTTTTAAATATCAATGAGTCTTTCCTGGTTGAATAAAGTAATACTAATACTAACAAATGATAAGTTAAATATACTTGCAATTAATTCAGTCAAAGCAAATATGCAAACAAAACTGAATAAATCAAAACAATTCAATGCACTAAAACTGCAGCACAAGTGCATTTTTCCCACCTGTGATTTGAGTCTCAATCTCCCCCTGCATCTGCAGGGAATCAACATAGATGGTGCGGTTTCCGATGAAACGAGCACAGGCTATGCCTCTGTATGGCTGGCAGAATCCATCTTCATTCAGATCCACCCTGACAGCAAAACAAAGAAGAGAGGAGGATCACTTTTAAAGTCATCTGTAGTCTATTACCACATCTTTCTGGGCCACTTTAACAAACAGCAGAAGCAGATGGAAGCAGGAAGAAAAACAGCCTGTTGAAACCACAAGGCTGCAGTGCACAGCATCAACTCTAGAGGTCAGTCCATGGTTGACTTTTAGACCAAACCACACAGTTAGAAGAGAGGCTGGTTCTGGTTGCTGCCTTTGCCTGGCCAACGATAAGTCATAGTCCTGTCAAAGGCTGAGATTTAAAACACTCATGCATGCAAATCACAGTTCACAGCACATATGTAAAGCACATTAGGAATTAATATTTGGCTGATGTCTGAGAAATGTCACTTCAGGGCATAATTTAAAAGATGTGGAGAAAGAGCAATCATGGTTTCACAAGTATTCAAATCCAGCCTCATTTCAGGATTTTTCTTTGCGCATTACACCAACTTTTTATTTCTTTTAAACTCACTCCCCACCACCTTCATCTTGCTCAAAGTGGCCTGATCTCTCACCTCTCCTGTTCTATATATACATCCGTGCACACTCCAACCGCATGCATCCTAGCAAGCTACTCGCTCAGTGTGAGATCACTTAGTCATGAGCTTTAAGTCATGCCATATGGGGACTTTAATTCCAGGCAAAGCCACATTAAATAGTACAGGGGAGGACATGATGCCACTGGGCATAGAGATGCATTTCTGGGGGAACGTAAAGTACATCCTCATGCTCTATAACTAGAATAACCAGTGGAATAATCCTGCTGAAATGAATAATACTGTAAAGACTAGCAAAAAGCAGTTAATGGTAAACATTTTCAATAATTCAACTCAAAAATGATTTATTTCACATCTATATACACATCTCACTATGGACACATCCTAATCAGCACACTCAGTACAATACTAACGAAACATTGCACAAAAATAAAAATTCCAAATTACAATCTGGCAGTTTCAGTCACTTTTTACCCCAAAACAAAAAAGAAAAAAAACAAAAAAAAAAACAATCCCCCAACCGCCACCCCCCATTTTTAATAAAAAACAAAAATCATGGTTGAAGAAAAAAATATTTAGCAATATAAATCTGTCAGTGTTAATAAAGTTGGGTTTAGTTGTAATTGAATACAGTGTTTTGTGAAAACTTTCTTAAATCTTTTGTGGCTCACAGTTTCTTCTTTAGAGTATCAATGACACAATCAGAAATCTTCTGTCTGATTGTGGAGGCCAGAAATGGCAACTACATTAATTCAATTTCCATTTTGACTGGATTTATATAAAATTCAGATAATTGGAGAAATTTATTTTGATATCTTCATGAACTGTAATCACCTAAATTAACAGAAATTTTTGCTTGAAACATCATGGTGGATGTGATGAATCTGTAATGAATTACTGAAATACATTAATTTTGTGATGATGTTTAACTTCCTGAGATGCACCTGTTCCTGCATTATGAGACTCTTTATGATAAAACTCAGAGTATCAAAGTAGAAGCTGTTGATTAATAAATTTATAGACAGAAAATGGGAACTTTGCAGTTTTGATGAATAAACAAATAGATGAAACAAAATAAATCATATTTTTCAAGGTTTGATCTGCTAATCAGATCAAACCTGATTGGCAGATCAAACCTGCCAATTTGAAGAAAAATTGGAAAATTCTGATTACTGGTAAGTTGGTGCATTTCACTACTATTGAATCCACAAAGATCAAAGCTGCATCAAAACTGCAACTTAATGTACACACAAGTTCAGATGGGTATCCATATGAGCTAAATCACACAAACTATTCTAATGACATCAAAAGGGTGTGCAAGTTTGGTGTGAATCAAGGGTCAATAGGTTTCCTTTCTCTGAGGAGTGTTAAGTGACTGAGAGGCCAAGGTCAGAAAACCTTCACCCCTCACTGTGCTCATCTTAATGGACTTTCCAGACACAGATGAACACAATAAATATAAAAGCGCCGGTCTGCGTACTGTTGGTTAACAATATCACATTTTAAGGTGGTTTTAGCAGATTATATCCTTAGAATATGAAATTTCCTACTAAAATATTGACATAACAGTAAAATGTGTGTTGTGGTCTGCTTGCAGAAGTTTTTGTAGGTCTTTAAAAAGCCACAAAAAAAAAAAAAATCTTCTCTGTAGTAAAAAAAATATACCCCAAAAAAAACAGTGCAATAAATCTACAGAGTGAGATTTAGGCGTTTAATAAAATCAGGAGTTTCAGTAAACGAGATGAGCCACAATTAAAAGGATGTGAGTACAAGAAAACACACGTGTGCATACATGCACAAAAATGGAGAGTCCAGGCAGCAGAGAGGTCTGTGCGTCACCGAGAATGTAGGACACACACATTTATGCAAGCAGAAAGCCACATACAGACGAGAAAATGACAAGGGAGAGCAGACGATCCACCACAATTCAGTAAGGTCCCTGCAATGAAATTATAACTTTGCTTGGTCTGAACATCCTTTAACCGAGGCCGGCCTGCATAAGTCACCAACACTGCCCTGTTGGACTGCATTTCCTTTCTAAATCAACTTAGATTTATAATGGCCTTCATAAAAAATTGAATTTTAGCATAAAAATGTAATGTGTCAAAAAAAAAAAAAAAAAAAAAAAACAATTCATTGCGAAAAAATCTGAGGGTTTTGGAAAGCAAGTGTTCTTATTCTTACATTATTTTATTGTTTGTGAATGAGCAATCCCAAAGAAGGAAAGCCAACTGCGGTTTTTATTTGGGTAAACAGTGGATAGTTGTTTGGGGCTTTTATTTTACACACCAACGCAACAGGCCCTCCGTAGAAATGTTTTATAACCGTCAATTATAAGGAAAGCTTTTTCCTCCTAGACTTGATTTACAGTGTAAATATAAAAAGAAAGACAAGACTTTTTGTTGAAGAAGTGTAAACCAGGAGACTGCATTCAAACATTTTTTCCAGTCATTTTATTTGTTCAGGTATGTGAGTAGTTGCTCTTTTTTTAGCTACAGAAAGTTGGAACAGTGTGATTTGACTGTACACATATTTCCATTCAGACAATATAGGGCCAGTCTTTTTGTTTTTCATTTGTGTTTCCATAAACAACCTGTGCCTCACTATTGTGAAAATGATAAAACAATCACACATTCATCTCCATCCAAAACACCACGTGGTGAAAAAGCATGTTGTAAGAACTTCTTTCTTCAAGAGAGAGAGGAGAACAGGTCAGAGTTAAAGGGAGGATAGAGCTATAACGAGACAATATAGATAAGCCTTCAAGAGGCTTCACAAGACTTGAGACGGGGTGAAAGTTCAACTTCCAGCATCATGACCTCAGAGTGGTTTAGTTTAAGAACATTTAGACAATAGGAAATCCCAATGCCCAAACCTAAATCTAATTGGGAACTGGTGATAAAAATGTTTAAATCTAAGCTGAAAGATTTTTAACGTGTTTGTAAAGAGGAAAGGATTCAAATTTCCAAATGTGCAAAACTGTACAAGACTGACCTAAAAGGTACAAATTCAATACAAATTTGTGCCACAAGCTTTGGATTTAATTTGTGAAAACATCTGAATGCCTTAAAACTACACACTACTTTATGTTGGTCTTCCATCTCTAAAATTACAATCATGTTTATGTATGTCAAAATGTATAAAAAATTTGGCCTTAAAAATACTTTTATAATGCAATGTAAAAATAATATGACACATAGGTCCATTTCTCAGCCACTCTTAAAAACAGAGAAAAAACACTTCGGATCTTCAGAAGTCAGCAAATGGCAACAGAAGCACCATTTTGCCAAAATCTCTCCAATAGCAACTGTCATAGCAATAATACAATCTAATTATAACCGAGACTGTGGCAATAAACCACATTTATTTTGGCACTATGAGCAGTGAGCCTCAACTTGTACATGTTTAGAGCAAATATATTCAATTTAGTCAGTTTTTCTGGTTTTCATAACTAAACTTACATAGGCTGTTTACTGTATATAACATAGAGAAAAACTGAGAGAAAAACTAAAATAATTAGGTGTGAAATGTGCAAATATATAAATCCCCAAAAGTATGTTTCATGAAAACTTCACAGACATGACTTTTATTCACTTCCAGATTCTAGTAGAGTACATTGAGGAGATTATTTCAGGTCTTTTGACCTTCACTTTCCTTACTGTATGAGAAGAAAAGTATGAATAAAATAAAAGGAAGCTTTGATCTCTGAGGGTTCGGTTAACAGCTGATGACAGATGTAACATCGGAGGCAAAGGGAGTTACTGCTGCGAAGGTAAACGGATGAGTTGACTCCACTGTTACTCATCTTCAAGGAGAAGTTGAACTCAACATCAAAGCTCAAACAACCAGAATCTTTTAAGGCTTATAATCGATCAAGATGTCAAGGCGCTCTCCACAGGAATAACCAGTACTATAATGGCACATGTCTCCAGCTGCTGCAGTTTTTCAACAAGACAGAGGCTAATGCTGGATGGATATAGTTTTCATGTGGTTTCTCCAAAATTTTCCAACCGAACCGAAGACTGTTCTGCATCTCTGATGGTGGATGTAACTGTGTTTAAATCTCCCACTTGATCTCATTAAATAAATACCTCAAAGTGCCCGAAGCCTCCACTGTTTATTTTCAGAACCTAGGTTTTGATTACAGAAATCTTAAGGACATCCACTTTCGCTGCCCGGGAACATTTAAGCTGAGATAACAGGTTTGATTTGAGTCTTGGGATTTAAGGACGTGAAACTCAAAGCTTGCTGTCAGAAAGAATGCAGAAGGAACAGGATTTGAAAGGATAAGGAAGGTGAATGGGCGGATCCCGGTGACATTTTAGATGTCAGGGTTTCATTTCCATGGGCTGCTGTGGGTGCTGAGTGAAAAGGAGATGAGCTGCCAGCAGCAGGAGCTCACAGCCCTCATTGGAGTCCAAACCTCAACATGTGCTACAGGACTCTCGGGCTCTGCATGATTTCTTTAAGTGAGCTTGACCGA